GTGCACATCTCTCTGCTAACCTATTCTTACTTCAAGCCTCTCCTTGCTTAAGTAAAAGATCTTTATTTTCTAGCATTATCTTTTCTTGTATTTGCTAAAGATCTGTGTGTAWYCAAAKGTTGTTTAGATAKGTTTTCTTTACCTTATCTTTCCGCAAACAATGTTGTAGAATCTGTATTGATCTTCTCAATCAATATATATTTTAAATTTGAAAACTCTGTGTTTGTATTCATCCCCCTTCTACAAATTGTGTCTTATCTTGTAGACCCTTTCGGGACCAACAGGTATATATATACATGTTCTTTATATATATATATATATATATATGCATAATATTAATATGCATGTATGTATGTGTGCATGGGTTTTATGCATGTATGAATGGTTTTTATTTATATGCATGTATATGGATAAAGGCTGGTAGCCAACTTTCTATATTTAGAAAGTATAAATAAAAGGGTTGAGTTATCAGGCAAAAGTTTTCTTACTTTGTTTAGAAAATTGAGAAGAGTTGTCCGGATATTCAAGAAGTTTTGCAATCTTCTTCAAAACTGAGAATTCTCATAAGGTGAGTAATTTCTGAAATACTCTTTTAAAGCTTTGGTTATTGTTTTAGAAAGAACTGCTTGTTATCTTCAAAATTAATTTTGTGCGATTTGGATCTTATCCGGACAAGGAATGATTGGATTAAGTATAAACCGGACATAATGTTGTCCGGATTGCTTTTAAACCGAACACGTGTTATCCTATTTAACTATAAACTAATCAAGTGTTGTGCGATTTAAGGTGATTAGTGAGAATTTGAATTATATAAACCAAACAAAGGTTTATAACAAAGAAGTAGGAATACGACTAAGCATTGTGCGATTTAATCTTAAATCGCTTAAGAGTCGTGCGGATTAGTTTAAATCGGCCAAGTGTTGTCCGGATTTGTACATCGGACAATGGGCCAAGTGTTGTCCGGATTGTTTATCCGGATAACTTATCCGGATGACTTATATTTGATAATTTTCAAGTGTTGAGCATTTTAAACATTTATATAATTTAATAATGTCTATTATTGGGTTTAATTATGAATTTTTGGGAAATGTTTCTACCAAGCGTGGTGACGTATATCTGTTTTGGTATGAAACTTGTTTTAAGAGGTAGTTCCCCCAAACGTGGTGACTTTTGTCTGTTCTAGCTTGGAACTGAGAATGGGTACTTTCAGACGTGGTGACTTTTGTCTGTTCTGATAAGTAGCCTTGTTTTGATGGAGGAATAAGGGTGGCATATCAAGCAGATGTGTATTTGGAATAAGGGAGGCATTGTCATATGTGGATATTATTATAACTCTTATTATTGTTACTAATTGGATTTAATAACTTTGAATCATCATTTCTTTGTGACCTGATGAATTAGAGATATTATTCCTATTAGAAATAATAATTTAGATGTTATTAAGAAGGGGAAAATGATTTGTCACAAAAGGCAAGTATTGTCTTAAAATCTTTCCATTAATATTTATAGTACAAACATAGGTATTCTAAAGGTGATGTTTTTAGTCTAATGAATCAAAAAGCTTTGGCCGTAAAGACAATTTCATTTTGGGAA